AGCCGTGGACCCGCGGGGAGCCGGCCGAGGGTGCCGGTGCCTCTCGCATCAGCAGTGGTGGCCACCGCAGTTGCGTATCAAATGCTCCCCGACGGACAGAGGAGCTTTGCCTTTCAGCTGTGTCCCACCGCACAAGCGCAGTCAAAATACTTCCCACAGAAACTCCTGGTTTGGCTGGGGAAGGAAGTCCCACCCAGAACACCGAAATCAGGAAAAAGCTTTATTTGCAGAGAAAATATTGACAATTTACATAAACTTACATCCTAAATTATATACAGTATGTATATTTTATATACAGATAGTGTCTTGAATAAAGATGTCGAAGCACAAACCAGCAGCAGTGCATCACCGTGCAGCTCTAACAGGTAGCGGGGGGAGCCGTGTCTCTCGTCCCACAACCCTCCCGTTACGCTTTTGCTGGGCAGCCCGAGGGGCTTCCTTCCAGCCTGGGAGTGATGAACGCGGGGTGGGCGGGCGCGCGGGGGTCAGGCTTGCATGGGTGCAGCCACGAAGTTGTCCCTTTCCCCCAAAGCCTGAGCCACGACCGCCCGGGGCCAGGGCAGGTGCCACCAGCCCGCAGCGAGTGGGAAGGGCTCCCCGCGCTCTCACCGGGAAGAGGGGAAGAAACACGAACGAGCTAATGCGCTTTGCTCGTCTCCCTCCCAACGCAGCTCGGGTGCCCGTTTCTAAGCACCCGATGCTGCTCGGTCAGTGGAAGGACGATGCCAAGTCCCCAGATGGGGACAGTGGCGGCAAGGAGACCACGACCGCTTACCTGGGTGAGAAAGGTGCTGGAGGGAAGCAAAGGCCAGGCAGTTTTGCACAGGGAGCCGTGACCTAAAGCCTTTACTGAAGGGAATTCTTCCTTCAAAAGGGGCCCTGAACACAACAGCTGAGCTGGCTTCCCTAGAAATTGTCTCCATAGAGGAGCTTGGGAGGGAGAAGGGTTTCAGATGCTGCATTATATACCGATTATCTGCTTGCTACATTGCTGCAGCTGGTGGCCAGCCGAAAGCCGGGCAGCAGAGCCAAGGCACGTAGGTAAGAGCAGAGCCAGCAAGAGCAGAGCCAGCAAGTACCACCGGA